GAAATTGACAGGTCATAACTATAACAAGATGGAGTTCACTTCTCTGACAAAGATTAAGTGTAGTATTAGTAGCTATACTAGACACCAGAGTGAGTCCTAAAAGCCAAAATAAGAAATTCATTCTATATTTGTTTGCGAAAATTATAATAATGTTATTAGTTTTAATAATGACTTAATAATTTCTACATGACGTCGAGAAGAATGATTTCCTTTGTTAAGTTTGTTATCTATTCCAACACTAAAACTAGAAACTACCTTAAGCTCTTTCCAAATCTGCAAACAAAAAATTGCCACTAATCTCTCTGTCTAAGCTCTTTGCGAACTGCTGCCTTCGACACTGCAAACTTAAAGAACTTGACGACTACGGGCACCAAAATAACGTAACACTTTATAGTCCAATAGATCGCAGTCAATACTGTACAACACTTTATAGTCCAATAGATCTCAGTCAGTACTGTACAATTGACTACGCCTAACACAAGACTGTACTAATATTTGACCGTTAACAACCGTACTGCCGCATCGACACTTGTGTCACTGTTTCAAACTCCACTTCCCTTTATGTTTTTTTTCCACTTTTCAGAACATATTTCACACATTGGACTCGTTGTGTCAGACTCGGTCGCAAATAGTCTCGTACTCCTCTCCTCCTATAATCATTGTTTTACTGACCTTCTCAGTAGGTTAGAAACATTTCAAAGCATAAAATATGTAACATTTAGAAATGGTAAAAGGCAAGCGAATATGTTAAAACAATTGCATTAATTATATTATTCTGATCACGTCATTGTCTTTTTAGCGGTCCTTGAAAGGAGAATAGACGCTATCAGTTTTGTGCAATCTGTCTGTTTCTCTGTCCGTCATGTTTAGATCACATAAACTAGAAGAGAAAATAAAAATCGGGCATCATGATTTATTTTTTTTGATGATTCAAAGTTCTGATGCAACGGCTGATTTTTTTCTTTTCCGAAATAGAACCATTTAATTTTAAACATTATCTATGCAAGCAGATACAAAAAATACACCACTTATAATGTAAATAATGATCACAGACTTCTTCATTATAACTCAAGCTTCATTCATAGATCGCAAAAAAAAATTACATCTTATGTCACAATGGAAAATCGTATCAATGGATCATTTTAAAATACATTTTCCATTTATTAACTACCTCATGGAATAAAATACTGATTGAAATGTTTTTAAACTTTACTACTTTACTTAAGATGTACTACTTCACTTAAGATGTAAGTTTAAAAAAAATGCTATTATATAAATTTCGTTATAAACTACATAAGGCTATATTATTGAAAAGGCTTGAAAAATATTTTCAACCGCAACTAAATTTATCTTTGTTGATATATGGAAGGGTGATATTAATTTGTATTAGTGAGGGGAAAAGTCTTAATTTGTGTGACCCAAGTCATTTCTAGCTCACTAGCGGAAATTACATTATACTAGTCGACCGGCGGCGTAGCATACGCCGCTACTTTGCAGGGCAGGCCGTAGGCCACAGCAACCTATCCGACCGCAGTGGACCCTACACTTTCATAGGACCCGTGCTAATTCTATCTGTAAATTATCAAATAAAACCATTTTATAACTTATAACAGATTTCTCGCGGCCGCCTTATTTACCATGAGCTCCTGAAAATCTTCTGATATTGCAAAATATATGAAAAAGTCATGGAAATCTCCGGAAATTATTACAAATCTTCTGAAAACTCATACAAATCTCAAGAAACATACGGACAAAAATGGTCATTTTGGGGTGTCATTTAATATGGAAATCGTCATTCCTACGTGCGATAAATAAAAACGGCATTATGCATTAGCCGTAATTCTGTAATCTGGTAAAAGAAGCTACTTGCGCCTCAAACTAATGAAGAATTACTTTACTTCAACAATTCTCGTAGATACATATAATTATTTAAATATGTTGCTATTGAGCGTGATCTATGTAGGAAATAAAATTTTCACGAAGGCTCGTAAAGTTCGAGGGATAACTCTATCCGCAGAAAAAAAGAGTGATTTTTCCTTTACTTCTTCTTCTCGTCCAAACTCTTGAGCGAAGAGAAGAATTATATTATATTATTATTATAATTATAATTATATTATATTGTGAAGTAGGTCAAAACTATTTTTGGTTTGTATTGTCAATTTATCTAATTTATAAGAAGAATGAATCTTAATTAATTTTTTTTTAGCTTTCCTTTTTTACATGTAACCATGGGCGTAGCCAGAGGAGGATGTTTTGGGTTGAACCCCCCCCCCCCCCGAAATAAAATAACCCCTCAAGGCTTTGGGAGACGGACTTTAGTTACTGATTTTTGCTTTGATTTTGTTTATTTTACTTAAGATTTTAATACTAAACAATCACTTGCCCCAGCGCAGCCATGGGGGTTTAGAGTTTAAAATTCCTACTAGGGGGTTTTGCAGTTAAACTTCTGTCTTCTATAAAACAAAAAAAATGCAAACGACAATCCCCAAATTTTAAGAGCATAGCTTAGGAAGATTTTGATTTTAAAACCCCCTCCGAAATTTACTATAAAAACCATCTTCAATATAAAAAGCAAATTACACACTGAAAATGCTATGAGCGTAGCCAAATAGATTTTGAGTTTAAACTCCCTTTCATAAGGGTTTGATGCTAAAAAATAACTCTTCAATATAAAAGAGAATGTAAATTACACACTAAAATTCTTTGAGCTTACATAAGCCAAAGGACAGTTTAAACCCCCTCCTCTAGATGGCTTTTTTTAGTTTAAAAGCACTCCAGGTGTTTTGGAGTTTAAATTCCGCCTACAGAGGGTTTTGAGGTTGAAAAACCCCCTCTTCAATATTATTCTAAAGCAAATTACGCTCATCTAATTAAATGTGCGTAGCTAAATGGGGTTTTGAATTTTTTAGCTTAAAACCCCACAACAGATGATTTTGACTATAACACTTCTTTTTTCGATATAACATCTAAAGCAAACAACAGTCACCTAACTCCAAGAGCGTAGCCAAGAGAGGTTACGCAATTTCTACCAGTGGCTGGACTCCATTAATTAAGTGCAGTGGATAGTCATCTGCAGAAATTGAAAAAGACTAAATATGGCTCAACAAAGATGGCTAAGACGGATTTTACGAGTCAGTTATAGAAATAGGGTCTCAATCAAGGAAATACTATGATGCCGAACTGGGAGTCGACCCCTTGGTAAAGTTGTGACAGCGCGTCGCATAAGGCTTGCGGGACATGTATTCCTACCAAATGAATTACGCATAATAAGAGTTGCAATGACATAGAGGCCATTACGAGGAAATCGCACATCCTAGTACAACTTCATGCCACACTTTCATAGAGGTTCTCAGAGCAGGTGGAAAGAGCCTTCAGACATTGCCATTGACAGATTTTTGTGGAAACAGCTTGCCGCCTAAAGAGCCAAACGGCGCGTGACGATCTAAGTCAGTAATAATAGCACAGGTTTTCAAATAAAACTTTTTAATAGCAGAATAATGCACTGTAGATACCTCAGAATATTAATTTTTATAGGCTTTCAATACCGAACTTTGCCACGAATAAAACTGCATGATATACAGCGAATTCCAGGTATTTTGTTACCTTTCACTAATAATAGATCTAAATGGCGAGTATTATATGGCTACACTAATTAACCTTGAAGCAATATTTACAGAATCGAGTATAACAGATCTAAAAGTTATTATTAATAATGCTAAAATTGTACATTATTCGAGTTTGGCGTCTATAATTTCAGAAATAAACTTCACACTCGAGTTATTACCCCTTTATTCATCTTTCCTCAATCCAATGGAAACTCTCTTTTTATTTACATCTAATCCTTTTGCTTTAGCACAAAACATAAACAAAAAATAATGATGTAATATTATATAATATTAACACATCCTTCCTTTTGAGGTTATTATCACACCCTTCCTTTTAAATTTCTTAAGAGTGATATCTACTAGCAGGGCCGCCCTAGCTTTTGCGAGGCCCTATGCGAAACTGATCGCGCGGGACCTAGTCTGGGTAGGGATAAGCATAATTACAAAATTTATTTTTTTTTTAAATTAGAAAATAGGCCTACTTTCGTCTTTGCAATATTTTTTTATCAAATGAAAGCTCGCAATGCCACTTTTTATTTATTGGCACCCCAAAATGTCAATTTCGTCTATTCTTCAGGTGAATGAATAAATTCAAGAAAAGTTCAGGACTTTATCGTATATTTTGCCTTTTCATGAGATTTCCTAGAGGCCCTGGAATATCAGGAGATCGCGAAAACCCTGTTATTATATATACGTTATAGTTGTTTAATTTAATAATGTACACTTGGAATTATCGCAGGGCCTATGAAAGCGCGGCGTCCATTGCGACCGCATAGGCTGCAGTGGCCTAAGGCCGGCCCTGTCTACTAGGAACTTTAATAATTCGTCCACTTCTGGTTGTCTTGACTGGCACAACAAGTTCTCTAGACGTTGGTCTATAACTGTCTGTTTCATTTGGTCCCACAGTTTGCAGTACATTGTCTTCATAGGTATCATAGTACCCAGAGATGTCTTCATCGAAACTCTTATTGAAAAAGCGTTGATTTCTTCTGTATGTTTTTTCATCGTTTGTCGTTATGATGTAAGATCTGGATGCTGAATGTTTTTTTTATGACAACTGCTTTCTGCCATGTTTGACCTAGACAAACTTTCCGACAGAATAATCTTTAGGTAGTCTAGCTTTTGCATCGTATTTCACTTTGCTTTTCATCTGTCGTTCGTTGAGTAATGTCTCTGCATTTTCAGCTACTGATGATTTCAATAGTTTGTGATCAGTTGGAATGATTCCCTGAGTCTTATACTCGTCAGCAGTTGTGATGGTGAATACGGCAGTCCACTTATCGGAGTATTTCTATACTCGAGCATAACGAGATATGGATCTTTCCCACTTTTGAATGCTCTGAATCCTTTTGCTTTCGCACAAAACATAAACAACCAACAATGACGTAATACCATATAATATTACCACAGAATCTTCTTTATGAAGTGGACCAAAAAAATTAAGAATTTTTTGCCTATCTTGAATACTGGTCAAAGCTCCTGCGCCCAATTAATATAGTTCGGATAAGACTACAAAAGTCTGGACTGCATATACGGGAAGCTGCTAAAGAAATTAGTACCCTTTTATGCTTTCATAAAATGATGAGAAACTGACACAAACCCAATCCATCGAAAAAGCAAAAGAAGGTATTGAATACTATGGATTCCCTGCAATCAAAACAACCAGAAGAAAGAAAAGACTTGATGGGAAGTTGAGTTCTAATGTAAGACTTTCAATAGAACTGCCATTTAAACGTGTTGCGACAGATGTGCTGGACAGATTTCATATGGAGATGAAGGGCAGATTCCAAAGGCAGGAAAGAAAATAGATACCTTTGGGTTTCTTCTTCAACCAAGACACCTGTTAGATGAAGACACGCTTGTGACAAACTGTGCTATTTTTCCTGTTTGCATAATGAAATAAATGGAAAATCGCTTTTTTCAATGATGTCATTGATGCACGAGCACTTTTCATCAACAAACAGTAATACAATCACCAATAGACATATTGAGGAAACATGCTTCATATGGGAATTACGTGTGCTCTAACTTTGCAACCTCCTCCGAATACGGCTAACTCAGTCCACTTCCATTACGTCATGTGAGAGATCATTCTCACAGCTCAAGCTCATCAAAAGCTATCTCAGGAGCACAATGACGCAAGAAAGGCTTATCATGGTTTTAATGTCAGTGAAGTCACAAATATTAGAAAATATCGATGTAGTTGATGTTATAGATGTCTTTGCTGCACGACGTGAAGCGATATCAATTTAGATTTGTCACTTATGCATTATTTAACTAATAAACAACGGTATTATTCATTAAAAGTTTACTGATATACTGAACCAATTTGATTTGGGGCTTATATATTTTTGCGTACATTATCTCATGTCATATGTCGAATGTCAAAATGCAAGGGGCCCCCAAAGTGGTCAATCCCCCCGGGCCTTCAAATCCCTAGTTACGCCCCTGTAGACCATTCAGTGAAACATTTTATTAATTTTGAATGTATGGAAAAGGTTAAGATATATTATTTGAAGAAATACAAGTGTACGTTAAATGAATATATAGAAGGCACTGTGGCAGAGTGGTAAAGCGCTTAGCTTCCGAACTGGAGGGCTGGGATTCTGACTTTTGGAAACTTTAGAGCGCCTTTGAGTTTACCCAGCTCTAAGAGGTATCTGACATTAGTTAAAGAAAAGTAAAAGTGGCTGGTCGTTTCGCTGGCCACATGACACCCACAAACTGCCCCATAGATCACTTGGTCTGAATGGAGAACGTTACTTAATGAACTTAATGAAAAAAACAACTTGTAATTAACAAAGTACTTAGGCTTGATAAAAATTATTTTTTTTAAGATTAAAACTTTAAATAGAAAAATTAATTTTATTTTTATATTATTATTATTATTATTATTATTATTATTATTATTATTATTATTATTCTCCCTTAAGAGAATTAATATTTTATACTTAAAACGATCAAAAAGAAGACTATGGTTTGAATATTCCTGGTCCGTTAGTAACTTCGATAAGGGGGGGGGGGGCGCCTCTGTAATTCTGTTTTCAAGCTTCTATTTGGCTCTATCTAAACCTTCTCAAATGTCTTTTTTTACGTTTGTAACATGACTATATCTCCAAGGAATTGCAGATTATTTAGTTATACTGTTAGAAAAAAAGCCAATCTCATCAATTCCTATTCTAAGCTTCTAGAACATGTCTGATTCTGTTGTCTCCGGTTCTAAGGCGAAAGATTAGACGTTGATCTTGTCGGAATAGCTTAAAAATAGGTGTCGTCTTTCTTGTGATTCGGATGAGAGCTTGTCCATTTCTCGTTTATTCTATTCACTATTAGTCTCTTCATTTTTTTTTATAGAGTGCAATGTTTAATTGTTTGTTCTCACACATTGGCAAGACACATATTCAATGATATTAAATTTTTTGAGCAGCTCTCGTTTTGTTTAGGTACGTAGATAAATGTTAGATAAACACAGTTGTAAATCGACTTCAGTATTACAAACTTCTGCCTATTATGCATTAATAAGCCTCTGAGGACAGGTCCCATTGGAGTTTGGGATATTTACAAATAATGTTTAGGAAACATGTTTATCTTTTCGCTCTGACCTAAAAGCGTTTGGTTGGCCTAACTGAGGATAATCATTAACCGAAAAGAAATAATTTCTATTACGCCTTAGTAATTTTAGAAATATTTTTTTCAATTTTTGAGAACAATGTTTACCAAACTTTTCCTTAACGGAAAACTTTGCAAATTCTGAGTATAAATTAGAACACTTTGCTATTTTTTTTCAAAAGGTTAAATCAAGTAGTAGCCAATGTAATCTGTCACGTTATTATGAAAAAATGACATAGATAGCTCAATAAAATTAATTGATTTATAGAGTCTTCTCTACATCTTCAACTTTCTCTTCACAGTACTCAGTGGTAAGCTCATCGAATTGTTGTTTAACTTTCCGCAATAGCGAGGAACGAAAAACTGGATGAGCACCTCAATATCGGGGGGTGAGGGCCAAGTGATTCAGAGCTTGGCTTCCCAACCTGGGGTCCTGGGTTGAATTGCACTTTACCAATCATATTTCCGCAAGGTTGTTAACGCCGGAAGTGGTAATGGTCTTAAGCCCATCATCACCTATAAAATGCTTTCAATAGCACGCGTCTCAAACTGCCTCTGACAACCAGTCCAGCTCTTGGTTCAGTAATTAACATTTATGAAAGATAAATGACTTTCTGACATGTAAAAATATTAGCTAGGTTTAGTGCTGACAACATCAACAGTGACCTCTAACGCAATGTGTGCATTGCAAGCAGAAAGCCGAAATCGGGTGCGGTCAAAATGCTATTGCGTGTTACCATTTTAAAAAAAAAGGATCTACATTTGAGAGAGTCTCTTACAGTGTGCATCTTTAAGATCTCAATTTGTAGTTAATGGTTCGGTAAAAATATTTTTAGACTATATATTATTTATAACATAATAAAAAATACCCATTGTTATAGTTGGGGAAAAGACAACTGACAACGCAGATACCTTCAAGGCCCTTAACATCCCAAGAAAGATTCTCGTTGCCTGTCGAGCGCGGTATAGCTGCAGACCTAACATATCACCAGGAAATTCATCAGTGGAAACTGATAAAGGGACTACACTGAATTTTGTTTCTCTTTAACGAAACTCAACCCTGGCAGCGCCAGAGAATGACTGCTTGTTCGTTTCTAACATAACAAAATATAAACAGCAATAATAATAAGCGATATAGTTCTATGGCAATTAGTTAACTGTATATACATTTTTACATTAATTTACTAGAATTTAATTTTTGTTACCGTCTGACTAGCAAAGTTAGAAACCAGTTGAACATCTATTTCTAAACGGTTGGCTGTTTTTCACTCCATTAAAAGATCAGAAGTTGAACTTAACCTGCGCCGTGTCAATGGACTTCATACTTATTCTTTTCTCAATCGTATTGTTGAGAAGGAAGGACAACTCTGCTGAACCAACTGTTACAGGCAAAGTGAGAAAAACATGCCTGCAGTTTGGAAAACTTGATTCTGAAAGGTAGTCTAGCATTACAAAATAACAGCTAAATCTCAAATCGGACACTGACTTAATATGTTTTTATGTAAGGCTAAAGGATTGCATCACTGAAAAAAAAAATTCTATGGCGATATCATCTGATTAAGATGAAATTCGAAGCATGTTGGCAGAATATAACTCTCTCTTTTTGTTTGACTTGAAATGATACTGGGGGATTAAATACTGAAAGGTTGTTAACGCCGGAAGTGGTAATGGTCTTAAGCCCATCATTACCTACAAAGTGCTTCCAATGGCATGCGTCTCAAATAGCCTCTGACAACCAGTCCGACTCCTGGCTTTCACGTGTGGCTCAGTTACTGAGCCTGGCGGAACCGTTACCACAGACAGGAGAAGGGGCGAAGGCGAGCAACTGGCGCCTAAACCAGTAAGCTTCGGGCAGAAGGGGCTCGTTAACCTTGGTTGGCTACCCATCTAGGAGAAGGAAAACTCTGAATCCAAACCTCCGCTGCCCTGCGGCTATAGCCAAACACGGGAAAGGCTTCGGGAGACAACCCTAAGGAAAAATCAGGAGCTGGTGACCCTTTGGCAGACTGTGGCACACCGTTCTTCATCCTGGCAGATCCTGCGGCGCTACTGATCCCAAACTGTACTGGATACTCCGTTCCTTTGGTCACATCAGCTGCGCGAAGAGGGGAGAACTGCTGTGTGGGCGACATCGTTCCGACCATAAACAATGCCCAGGCTTTCATCTCACTTATTCAAAGCCCTAACCCTAAAAAACTGGAGAGGACACTCCAGCTTCGCCTTAGGCGTCGGCCAAACACGGGAAGTGGCAGTCACCGGTTATAAGCTCAAATACTCAATTGACGTAGAGCAGGGCGCCAGGGGCCACTTTCGTCGGTGGGAGGGATCCTAGGATTCCAATGGACAGCTACCGCCCGCCTCAAACTGGGCAGCCCCCAGCCAATAAGGTGCTGTCCCGTCATGCCTGTCTTCCTCGTTTGGGTACACGAGGATAGGACACAATCTGAAAAGCAGGCACAAAACCAATGTACCAGTCGACATGAAGAAAAAAAGAGGAGCTCCACTCTTAAACTGGGCACGTGGAATGTGCGTACTCAACAAACTGGACTTAATGAAAACCTACCAGACTTAGAAGATGTCAGAAAATCTGCAATAATAAACGATGAACTGTCCAGGCTCAAAGTAGACATTGCCTCCCTTCAGGAAACTCGTTTAGCTGACTCTGGATCAATCAAAGAAAAAGACTACTTCTTCTTCTGGCAAGGCAAAGCCGAAAGTGAAGTAAGGGAACATGGCGTGGGTTTTGCAGTTAGGAACACACTGCTGAACACAGTGAGCTGAAGTGCAACGGTTCAGAAAGACTCCTATCACTACGCCTTAACACATCTATTGGACATGTGACTTTGATATGTGCCTACGCTTTTACTCTGAGTTCCACACCAGAGGCCAAAGATATGTTTTATGACAACCTTTCGTCTGCTCTTAGCGAGATCCCAAACACGGAACAGGTTATCATCCTCGGCGACCTCAATGCACGCGTTGGATCTGACAACTTTGCATGGGACAGCTGTATTGGGCGTTTTGGTATCGGAAAAGTAAGTGAAAACGAACAAAGGCTCCTCGAGGTTTGCTCACTACACTCCCTCTGCGTCACTAATACCTATTTCAAGACTAAACCGCAGCACAGAGTATCTTCGCGGCACCCTCGCGCCAAACACTGGCACCAACTAGACCTAATCATGGTAAGACAAAAGTGCTTAAAATTTGTCAAACTTACCAGGTTCTACCACAGTGCAGACTGCGACACAGATCACTCCTTGGTATGTTGTAAGATTATTCTCCTCCCCCAAAAAATCCACCATACCAAGCAGATTGGAAGACCCAAATCGGATGTAAGCAAGATGTGTCAACCTGATCTCCAGATACAGTTTGCGGAATCTTTTGAACGCGAGTATAAAAATATCTCTGAGAATACAGCAACTGAAAAATGGGAACACCTCAAGTCCACCATACAAAAGACTTCCCTGGAAATCTTTGGAAGAAAAATTACAAAACAAAATGATTGGTTCGACTCTAAAGCAGTTATTTTAGCACATGTCATCAGAACAAAGAAAGATGCACTCGCTACTTACATGGCAAAACCTACCCATCGCAACCTGCTAAACCTGAAAGAAGCTAGAGCCAATGCACAGAGGACAGCAAGGATCTGTGCCAATGAATACTGGGTAGAGCTCAGTGAGAGTATTCAGCTCGCAGCCCAAGTGGGCAACATAAGAGGGATGTACGAAGGAATCAACAAGGCTCTCGGACCCTCCCAAAACAAGACAGCACCTCTGAAATCAACCACTGGGGAAATTATCACAGACAAGTGCCAATAAATGCACAGATGGGTGGAACATTACTCTGAGCTCTACGCCACAACAAGCTCAGTCTCTGACTTAGCCCTTAAAGCCATCATACAACTACCCACAATGAACGAGCTAGATGAAACACCCACCCTTTCAGGGCTCAACTATACCATAGACAACATTGCTGCCCGAAAAGCAACCGGATGCGATGGTATCCCCCCAGATCTTCTAAAACAATGCAAAACTACTCTAATCCAACCTCTACACGAACTGCTTTGTAAATGTTAGCAAGAAGGTGCTGTGCCACAAGACCTGCGGGATGCTAAAATCATTACACTGTATAAGAACAAAGGTGACAGAAGCGACTGCAACAATTACAGGGGAATCTCCCTCTTAACTATTGTAGGCAAAGTCTTTGCTCGAGTGATACTTCCCAGGCTACAAAAACTCGCTGATCGGGTCTACCCAGAATCACAAATGCGGCTTCCGCTCAGGGAGATCAACGATTGACATGATTTTCTCCATCCGCCAACTCCAGGAAAAGTGCAGAGAACAAAGGATGCCTTTGTACATTGCGTTTATTGACCTGACAAAGGCCTTCGATCTAGTTAGCAGAGATGGCCTCTTTAAAATTTTACAGTTAATAGCCTGCCCACCTAAGCTACTAAATGTAATCATATCTTTCCACCAAAATATGATGGGCACAGTGCTTTTCAACGGTGCCAGCTCTGAAAGTTTCAGTATAAACAGCGGAGTTAAACAAGGATGTGCCCTGGCCCCAACCCTCTTTGGAATACTAAATTCACTGCTAATCCACAACGCGTTTGACAAATCCACTGAAGGCATCTATCTCCATTCCATATTTGATGGCAAATTCCTAAATATTGCCAGACTGATAGCCAAAACCAAATCAGAGCCACCCTCGTAAGAGATATGCTATTCGCGGATGAAGCAGCGGTAGTGGCACACACACAAGAGGAACTTCAGTCACTAATGTCCCGCTTCTCTCAGGCCTGTAAAGAATATGGCTTGACTATTAGCACGAAGAAAACAAATGTTATGGGACCACCTACTACAGCACCACCCTCCATCCTCATTGACGATAACAAGCTGGACGCCGTAAACGAATTCTGCTATCTGGGATCCACAATTACAGATGACCTGTCCCTAGAAGAGGAGATGAAAAAACGCATAAGGAAGGCTGCCTCGACATTCGCTAGACTCAGACTAAGAGTTTGGGAAAACCATAAGCTAACTACGGTGACCAAAATGGAAGTCTACAAGGCATGCGTTATGAGTACACTGCTATATGGCAGTGAATCATGGACCACCTACGCTAAGCAAGAGAGAAAACTAAACTCATTCCATTTGAGATGTCTCCGTAGGATCTTGAATGTCACATGGAAAGAAAAAGTGTGCAATACTAAGATCCTTGCGCGATCAAGTATTCCCAGCATCTTTACAGGCCTCAGACAACGCCGTTTGCGCTGGCTTGGACATGTTCGCCGGATGGAGGACAAGCGCATCCCGAAAGTCATCCTCTATGGTCAACTCGCGACTGGCACAAGAAAAACTGGTCGCCCCCACCTCCGTTACATACATGTAATAAAACGTGACCTCAAATCAGTGAACATCAATACTGACCATTGGGAAGACATAGCTCTAGACCGCAACAGGTGGAGAGAGACAGTGACAAAGAAAGAAATGGACAGTCAAAGTACATGGGTCTCAGCTCAGGAAGAAAAACGCACAAACCGAAAAATGGACAGCTTCTCTACCACCGAAGCAAAAGCCAAGGGGACCCTAACTTGCGCTATCTGTGGACGGGAGTGTCTCTCCAAAATAGGGCTCCACAGCGACATGAGGAAGTGTGTTCTGAGATGAACCATAGTCGTCCTACGACTGAAGGAGGCCAATGATGATGATGAAAAATACTGAAATAAATTGACAGTTTTTTATGCCAATGTAATCTGTCATGTTAATATGAAAAAATGACATCGGTAGCTCGGAAAAGTTAATTGATTTTGAGAGTCTTCTCTACATCTTCAACTTTCTCTTCACAGTAGTCAGTGGTAAGCTCATCGAATTGTTGTTTAACTTTCCGAAATAGCGAGAAACGAAAAACTGGATGAGCACCCCAATATCGGGGGGTGAGGGCCAAGTGGTTCAGCGCTTGGCTTCCCAACCTGGGGCCCTGGGTTCGAATCTCGGGGAAGACATTTTGCATTTCGAAATCTTAAGGCGGCCCTGACTTTACCCAACTGTAATGGGTACCTGACTTTAATGTTAAATTAAAAGCTGTTGGTCGTTTGTTTGGCGTCATGACAAACTGCTCTTTAGCCGCTTCTCAGAGAAAAAAATGATCTTAACATCATTTGCCCTATAGATCGCAAGGTCTAAAAGGGAAACTTTTAATTTTTAACCTCAATATCATGCTGCTTCAGACGCTTCATTTTTACAATATCAAAGTCATTTCTTAAATGACTTATTTCAATATAAGAATTCTCCAGTGGACTCAATGCTTTATGCAGATATTGGTTATTACTTTCGATACAAGCTTGATTGCGCTTACAATTAAATTATCGAAAATAAGAAGAGTAACAGTAATGAATGTTTCTAATTGTCCACTAAGTGCTGCAGCTTCCAGTGTTTGTTTTTCTTTGGAGAACACAGAGTAATTTGTGTTAACATGTTTAGTACATAGAAATAACGGAATTCTCATTGTTTCTAAAACACAATTGCTTGAGTGTCCTAGAAAATATGTTTACCCGATTGGATTCAATACATAAAGGGTTTGTATTGTATTCACCAGCTATACCCTATTCAAAGATGATGATTTTTTCTTTCTATACATTTCCTTGGGAGAGACTGAACAAATACCATGGTCCTCAAAAACACACAACTTATATATATATATATAAGGCTTCTCTTTGAGTCCGAAGAATAGTGAGGAATACAGAATTTCCCGTGGCTGCGCAACTTCAGCTGTGACCTACATATTTTGCGACATCCAGGGCAAGCATAACCATTGTCCGCAGGTAGTGAGATAGTATTAAACCATGTTTGACAATTAAAGCATGTTTGACAATAATTTCATGACTTTCATAGATTTGTGGGCTATATATATATATATATAATACTGTATTACCTACTGCCTGCGTAGAATATTTTTAAGTTGATAATGGGCTCGCGCAGACCAATACTACTCTTTAAGCTAGATGCAGTCTACAGTGGCACAGAAGTCTGAGACATAGCCTCAGGTTTCAAATCGGAATTCAATTCTCCTAGACTGGTTGCCGATCATAGCAATAGAGTCCAGTTTGCCCATTGGCTGAATTGCTAATTTATTTAGTTCGAAACTCTAAACGTGACTCAGAGGGTAAAAGGCAAATATGTCGCCAATATACGTGAACAGAGATTTAGTTAAAGACGATTCACATCGACAATTGGTGTAAAACAATAACAAGTAGATAGACCTTACGATTTGACGATATTGGTAATAACAATATTAATGACGTGTCCAGAAAAGAGCGACTCATTAGAACGAAGAAGTTGTAGAGCGGAAAAAAAAGACTGCGACAAAAACAGCCAAAGCTTCCGGCGGCCATCTTGCTTTATCACATTATTATAAAATAATAACAGTGTATAAGTAGTAAAAAAAAAAAGTCCTTTTTTATGGTTTTGGTATTTTTCTTAAAGTAATATATTGGTAAAAGAGAAAAGGAACATACAGTCTCAAGTATCCTTGAGTCTCTTCAAAGTTTTCATCTAAAAAAAAGAGAGTAATCGAAATGAGCCGCTCGTATTTAGCGCCTTATTCTGTCAGAACTAGGAAACAAGTACTAAGCATTAATCAGTGATAGAAACCATTCCATTATAAATGTAGTCTTGGCTCTATGTTATAGATTTTTGGATCTTTGTTTAAAGCGTACTCCCTTAAATACATTACGAAATTTATCGAAATTGCACAGAAAATTTATCTTTTTAAGCGATGGAAGTTGTAATTTGTACTTTCAGAAATATTCCTATTTAACCTAGTTGTCACCCCTCTTTTTTTAGGTGCTACACATCAATATTGCTTTAACCGAATACTGTAACCTGCCACCACCCCGAACCCTCTGCGTAAATATTATCAAAGGTTTAAGTGAAAAAAAACAACACAACAGTTACCACTAACGCCCAAAGCCTTAAAGCTAGCAACTATTACAATAAGCCTAATGAAAACAGTTCCTTATAAGCAAAACTGAACTGAACTTGCTATTATGAAATGTTTACAATTTTACATTTTTTGCAGGTTTCGCTTTTACTTTAGGAGGCATAGTGGCCGAGTGGTAAAACGCTATTTTTCACGGATTGAAAATTCATGGATTCGAATCCTGTTAAAGATTGAAATTTTTCAATCCAGGATTCTTGAAACGTCTCTGAGTCGACACAGCTCTAAAGGGTGCTGACGTAAGTTGGGTAGAAGTAAAGCCGTTTCGTCGTGGTACTGACCACGTGACACCTTTGTTGACCGGAGGATTTTTTTTAAATTGTCAGGCCAATAAATGTTAATGTTTCAACGGGTAAGGGTAACTAAACATTTGCTTTACAGTTTGTCTTCTTTACCAATGGGT